GGGGCCCCGGGGCTGTGCATTTGGATCACTCTCCTCTTCTGTGTTTTTAATTTCGTGACAGCCGGAGCCCTGGAGGCGGCTCTGGCCCGCGCCCCGTTTTCTGATTGATCGTGCTTTAAGCTGGGCTTTCCCCTCGACTACGGGCGATTTTAAAGCGATAAATTCAGTAATACACACGTGTTATGGCCAAACCCGCCCAGATATCCCCCATCTGAACTTTAACTGATCCAGATCTCTGAGTTCAGTGAAAATTAAGTGCCTGTGACACCGCAGAGATAGAAAGTATTTCAGCATGTGGGGGAGGCCGCTGTTTAAGCGTGGCTTCATGGTTACTAAACGATTAAATTAGCAGGATATAGGCCATATAAATTGCCTTGCAGTTTCCGGTTGCTTTCCTCGTACAAAAATTGCACAACGTGTATGAATAAAATAAAGATGCCGTGCACGGTTAGGATTGCAGTGGGATGCAGCAGGAGCTGAGCATCTGCACTGACCCCTGAGGAAGGTTTGAAAGCATAAATGCTAAAATGTATTGTGAGCAGTTTTCCTTTTATTTTCCTGACTATTGACTATTATGTGGCATTTCCTGCTTACTTTTGCATTCGATGTGCACAATCGCATTTGATCATGCAAGGGAGGAGTTTTCATCAGGCAGTGCAAGAAAGGAGAGTTTTCGCTGTGGTCTGTCCTTCCCCACATGGGTGTGGATGTAAGCTGAACAGGGACTTTTCTCCTTGAAGCATTTCTAATCTTAAAACTATGTTAGCCAGCTCCAGTGGGAGGGCATTCTCTGACAGGAGAAACCTGTGAAGTCCCTTCCTCAGCTTCACATGAGGATCAAGTGATAGGCTCCCTACAGTCATCCCCTTGGAAGTGCTTCCCCTGCACTGTAAATGACATGACCTTTCCAATCAGATGTAACTACCAGATTTGGTGAGGTCATAAACTTCAAAATGGTCGTTTGATATTAAGTATTACCATTTTCTGGTTTTTAGTTCTATTATCAAGGAGATTTTCTCCTGAAATCTGGTTTCATCCAAGGTCTTGGCTCTTTAGCATGTTTTTCTTAAGTAATATTGTCAAAAAACTCACCACCTCTGTCTTCAGCAGAATATAACAACACCACTAGTTATTGCACTAAGAAATACATATTAAATTACTGTATGATTACATATATCATTGTTTTTATTAAGCACTCAGTGTGTGTTTAGTGCAGCATAAATATTAAACAAGATTATTCTCCCCCTGGTGGGTTTGCAGTCTGAAAGATCTTCATAGGAAGAAGTAGTAATAACATATCATTAAAACACCACCTTTAAATTAATCTCTTTTTGTTTCCCTGTGGTTAACCCTCATTTGCTGTTGATCATGGCTGGTGTATCCTGGCATGTCCTGTGGTGCTGTTTGATGATGTTACAGACCCCAGTTTTCCGCTCTGCCCCTCTGTGAGAAGTTCTTGTTCAGCCCATGTGGAAGGAGAGCGTGTGTCCCTGCTTCAGCTGCTGCCACACAGAGCCCAGCAGCATGGCTGGGACCCACCTTTGATGGCACTGCACACTCAGACTTTGGTTGTTGAATCAAAGCTCAATTCCCTTCTGCCACCTCGGCTTCCTGTGAGGACAGCTGGAAACACTCATGTCTTTAACAGCTGCAGCAAGATTCTGTGAAGCTCGTATGTGAAAGCCCTGAGAGAAGAGACACTGCAAATGGAAAGAGTGATGCCCAGTTTTCACTGATTTCTGCTGGATTTAGGTGCCTAATTCACTTTTATACCTTCCCAGTAGCATCGTTCTAGGTGGGAATTTTGTACCCAATAGAATTTTTTTAAAGAGGAAATTGGAGCTTTCCTGGGCAGAGCATATAATAGAGCTTGGACCATAAAAAGAACTGATGCTTCCCAAGGGAAGCATGACTCTTGAACTGAATGAGTTGGCAGGTTTGAAAGTTTTAAAGTTATTTGCTTATTTAAAGAGTCGTAACACAGTCGTAGGCCCTGAAACAATTTATCTTCAGTTTCTGCTCTAGATTCAACGTAGTATTTGTCAGAGAAAATATTTCAGAGTCAAATTTTTAAAAGTAGCTGCTTTAAAGCATGCTGTTTTCTGACAATACCTTTTTGCTGAGTAAGCTAGAACCACTGCCTGGAAGCTTAAAACTGAAAGAAAAGAAAAAAACCCACAATGTATAAAAAACACATACTGTTTCTTGTTGGTTTTTGGTTGGTTGGTTTTTTTTTTGTTGTTGTTGTTTGGTTTTTTTTTTTTTTTACTGAGCTTGACTATCCATAAGAACAAACTCCTAAAGGAAAATTCTGTCTCCTGAAATTTTTCAAATCAAAATGTGATCCTGTTTGGAAAGTTGTTGTCAAACTCAGCTTATTGAATTTAGTATTCAGGTTACTGATTAAAATTTTTGCAGCTGTACTGTAGAGGAGGTTGGCACAGACTGATCTAATTATTGGCTCTTTCTGACCTCAGTACCTGTAGACTGTATAGTGGAAGGCAGGACAGAGATTGTGCTAGCAAGGACTAGACAAGTATGCTGGGTAAATACAGGGTGTGTATTGATTGCTGGGGGAGGAGGAAGTGTGGTGGCTTTAGTGTTGCCTTTATTGTGGTAAATTGATTTACTGGAGGAAAGGGAGAAGTTAATTCTTCATATCAATCATCCTGTGTTGCAAGGCCCAAAAATTATTGCGTATCTCTTCCTCTGTAAAATTGTTTTGCCTTTTGTTAATGTAAAAAATGGTTTCTTTGGTTATTGTGATCTGCTTCTTTTCGTGTTTTCTGCTTTGGTTGTTTGGGGTTTTTTAGTGCTAGAGAGATGACAAATCTATCTGTGCACACTTTAATTCTGGTTTTGTGTTACGAACAGGTTAGGATTTGACTATGGCAGTGCGGCTCCTGTGGAAGGCATCAGTGTGGTTCAAGAAGCACAAGATCGCTGTGTTGGCCGTTTCTTGCACGGGACTGCTTGGCACTAACCTTTCCTATCACGTGTTTCCTGAGCAGACATTCAGACTGCTGCACGAGTGCTGGTCTGAGGGGCAGCCAGCTGAGCTCTCGGAGAAGCTCTGTGCTGTGTTTCAGGATGTCCTTCAAGATACTGCTGTGGAGTCCACTGGCTCCTACAGAGCCTTTGCAGCCTCTAGCTTCCACCCTGTGAGCGCTGGAATTCCCTGGCTGCCCCAAGGTTGTTTGGTGGGCATCCCGCCTAACTTTGATAGCACAGCTGAGGATAAAAAAGGAATAGTCAACCATGTTGTTGTAATAAATGGCAAGGAGGTAGACTGGGAGAGCAGAGAAGGTGTGGCTTTGAAGGAAGCTCTCACATTTTCCCTTAAAGCTCAGAAGTTTGCTATTGCCAGAGAAGTTGTGTACTTGCAGAGTGGCAGCCCTTTAGCAAGTGCAGTTGTGGCTCCGACTTGCTTGGCTGGGACTGTTGTCTGTGGGAGTGCTCTAAAGCTGCTGCTGGGGTTATCCCGCGGCCCTGTGATCCTCCGGGGCCTGTGTAACCTTGTCACTGCCATGGGAGGACTGCTCTGCTACTATGTCTCTTCTGATGCCATCACCCATCACCTGGACTGCAGGGCCGACTCCAAGGCAGCCCGGCTTTCCAAGGACTATGCCAGCGGTGGCCTTGAATTTTATGATAAAATCTTGTACCGCAACAGGATTTTTCGTGGTCTGATGGGCAAAGAAGGGATGAAAATGTATGCCCCAAGTGGTAACCTTTTCCCAAGGCACTGGTTCAGATTAAAGTATACCCCGTACACTTACCGGAGAACTTTGATTCTTAATATTTTAAGAGAGCTCCAGGCATCTGATGGGAGTGCATGAATTTTAAACTTGTGAATTATGTATTTTGGAACACCGCTGTGCTGCTTTTTTATTTTTTTCCCTCTGTATCTTCATTAGAATTTCGGGGTTTATTTTTGCATATAGTTCAGAGAGTTATTGCACGTTTCTTGAATAAAGAATTCTCTCTTAAAATATTAAAGACTTGCTTCCAAAGTGCTCGGTTCTGTGTGCATCTCAAATCACAAGACTGCTGAGAAGGGAAACTTTTCAAACACTGATCTGGAAGTTCTGCTGTGCTGCTTTGCCTTCCTGTCCTTTCAGTCTGGCAAATTGTGAGCTGCAAGTCCAGCAGAGGTTTTGGAATCATTGTAATTTAAACTTGGGTGTTTGCTCTTTCTCCTGTGGAACAACACAGATATTTAAAGAAATGGGCAGTCTGTATCATGTGGTGACATAAATATCAAGACAGAGTGTTTCTGTTCTGTGTAAGTTCTTGTGCTGTGTATATTCTTATGCTGCAATCACTATTCTTCAGTAGGAGACATTAGTTATGGTGCAATTCCTACCAGTGCAGTTTATTACCAGCATCTGCATCATTTGCTGAAATCTAGTTCTGCTCTGTCTAGTACATGGTGACTGTGAATGCTCCCCAGGAGTTGTAGTATGTAACAGGACAGTCCTGGGTTGTTTTCTTACAAGTGGGATAAGCATGTTGAGAAAAGGTTTTTCGGCTTGCTTTGGTATAGTTTTTTTTGTTTGATTTAAAAATGTGTGTCACCTGTTTTATCAGTGAAGGCAAGGTATGAGACATGAGTCTGGCATTTGGTGCAGAAACTGGTGAGGTCTGGGATGCAGAGTTGCCAAAGGAGATTACTCTCCTGTATCCAAAGGAGATTATTCTCCTGGCTCAACAAGGTTTTGTCTGGCAGGCCAAGCTTTGTCCAGGATTACTAATCTCCTGGAGAAGTGTTTAGTGCATGGGCAGTAAGCCTTTCACTATAGTCTCACCTTGATTTTCAAGGTGATAGTTTTCAACTTTGTGGTTCCTTCTTTCCTATGTTTCTGTTGCTGTTCCAGTAGCTCTCCCTGTTGATGTCACAATAGTTCTCATCTCTATCTCTGTTGTCATTCTCACCAGCAGCTTCTATTATTTTGTGTCTTCTCAGTCAGAGATATGCTGAATGTCCTTTCTGCCCTGGCTTTGTCTTTCTTCATCTTCTTCAATAAGAACTGTCACACCTGTGTTTGCTCAAAGCATTACTGAGTTCTGTTTCCCTTTTGAATCACATGGTGACATAAAATTGATATTCTGGCTGCTGAAGCACTGCTGTTGCCTTCCATTGCTGAAGCCATGTCTGAGAGGTGTCTGTTTTTGCTGAAGTAATCTGTGCCATGAGCTTCTGAAACATCACCTATTGCTTGCACTTGTCCTCAGCAGATCATGAGATGTCTCTCTGGTGTTTTTCTGCTGTAAGGCATAAAGCTATTGTTTTTGTGTCCTTTGTGAAAGAGTGATAAAATTTCCTGATCTGTGGAATAAGAAGAGACTTCACTTTAAGGCAGGGGTCTTTAAATCTTTGAGCTAATTTTTTTTTAACTTGTCTTCCAGATAAATCCAATATAAGACATCACAGAAGTTTGTTGATAGAGTGACATAGTGACTCAAGACTGGAATACAATTCCTGGTTTATACAGTCTGTGAGTTTATATCATCCTCCTGTTACTCCTTCAGACAAATCTAAACTGTGAAATATTCTCAGAGAGAATTTAACCCATTTAGTTTGTGATTGAAAGAGCTGCTGCTACATAAAGGAGTGCAGAGAAGAAATCAAGGCCTTCTTGGAGATTTACAAGTAACAGTTTAAACAAAATGAAATTAAAGTAACCTACTCATCTTTTATCACTCCTTACTGTTGCTTTTCATCATGATGCCTGCAGCTAGTGTGGTTATTTGACATTGTTGGGTGTAAAGCCCCAGTGATGCTAATGGGTTTTGCAGCTGTGCACTTCACTTGACTCTTGCAGTGGCTCCATGTATCTCTAAATGTCCCATTTACCCTTCTCTGAACTGGCTGTGGCACGTTGGTGTTGGTAAGGAAGGGCTGGCTAGCACCAAGATGCATGGCCCTTCTTTCCAAAGATTCTTGCCAAGGGCTTACACACCTCCCTCTCTGTGCAGCTGAGCACAGTGTCATAGTGCCAATACAGGGAAAACAAGAACTGCAATCACAACTGCTTAGTAAGGTTTCCCTGAGCTTTGGGAATGTGCAGGTTGTCCTGGAAAAGATTTTTGTGTGTGTGTGTTGCCAGGTAATTGCTGCGTGCAAGATCACCCATGCTATTGGCAAGCAAGAATAGCACAACTCAAATACATGGCCATGACAGTACTCATGAAAAGTCTTTTATTATACTGCAGATGTTTTCCTGTAGGTAGAACTATCATTGAAATCAAACATGAACTCCACATACCAGTAATAAAAATGGTCTGGTTTTGAGAGTTCACTAGAAGCAAGCATCCTAGAATTAAAGGTGGAAATGTTCCATAAGAATGGTCTGATGTAGAAAAGCAATTCATTCAATGGCCCAGAAAAGGCCAAACAAATCAGTTTTCAGTAAATCATGTCAGTGAATTGCCTCTCCCAGCTCTGAAGCTGAAAATCTGAGGAATTTGAAGAACTTGTTTTAGTATTAACTGGCTTGTCTTTTGCTGCTCAGACAAGGCACACTTTGTACAAAATTTTATGCAGAAAAGCAACAAAAATGTTAAGCTAAAAGGAATTGCTAAGAGATGTAGATAAAAGAAGTCTAAGTGTAGAAACTGTAAAAGCAGGGATGTCAGTGGAATAATGAGCTCTCATAAAAATGGATACTATCTAGAGATATGAACCTCTCTGTCTGGTAGAGTGATTAAAGGATGAAGAGGTATAAGTAGCAAATGACCAAAATGAGTTGCTACTTTAAATTTAGATAAAATCTAGTTTAAAGAGGGATTTGCTTGACTGGTTTACTTGTGTTATTATCCTGAATGTTCTGTGTAACTGAAAAGAAAATGATCCTTGTAACTTCTTTTTTATATAAATGCAATTCTTGCTGCTTCATAAAGCTTTAGTGGGTGATGCTGCAAGAGATGAGGGTCACCAAGGTGCTTTGCTCAGAATTCCCTCTGAAGTGTAAGAAATGTACTCCAGGACCTGACTCGCATATTTCTTTATCCTAAAAATTGCAGTTTCTTGTTGTGGCGATATCTTCAGCTTGTTTAATGGTTAAACATGAAGTTGTCTGAAAAGAGCAGTATTGAGAGCTAGACAGTTTTCTTGAAGACAAACAAGCTGTGGAAGGCATCTGATTACAGCAATTCCTGAATCAGCTGCTATGGGTATCTGGCTTCTCTAGCAGTTTACAGAAGCAGGAGCTTCAGAGAGAGGGAAATCTCCACCCAGGTGGCACTGAGTAAAGCATCTGGACTTGCCCAGAGGGCTGCAGTTGAAGGGTAGTGGTCCTTTAGAAAACAGCCTTTTTTATTACAGTAGAGCACTGCTATCTCCCCATTTGACATTCAAGTGGTTTCCATCATTTGACAGATAAGATGGTGAGAGAGCTGACTGCAGAGCTGTGGAGCTTCTTGCCCTGCAGGGAAAGCTGCTGGTGTTGGGAGAGGTGATGCTGGGAAGAGCCTACGACTGTTCTGCCCTTGGCTGTAGCAGTTGTGAAACAACCACAGTGACAAAGTGTGGCTTGCATGGGTGGGGTGTGAATTTGAATGTATGAATCAAATCATCATGACTGAAACACAAGTGGCTTTCACCAGAGGAGCAAATGCAGAGGATCCATCAAGGAGTGAGTAACTGCTGTGTGCAGCATGTGGGCCATATCCTGTAACTGCTATCTGCTCCTGTTCACTAAAAGCTCCATGTAGCAAGTGTGATTACATTCATTTAAAAATCAGTACCTTCAGACAATCTGCTATCCATGCATCCAGTCCCTCCTTGATTTCACTCATTTCAGCTGGAAGTCTATATTATTCTGCCTTTCTAGCAGAACAATGCTGATGTAGGAAGACATACTTAAGATCTTGGAATAAAGAGGACACCTTCAGGAAGAGAGAAATTTGGTTGTTGTCAAAACCAGACTTGAGAACAGAAAAAACTGTTATTATTCTCCAGGAATTGGTATGTTAGACAAATTAAACTGAAGGCACTGAAAAATGGCTTATGGATGTTTTGCTGGGCATCTTTTTCACTGACAATATATTGGTTTGTTAAGTTGAAGTGAGTATATTTGGGCTGCTCAAATTGCCAAATCCATGAAGTGGAGAAAATTACTAAAATTTGGCCAGAAATCCATCTGGTTTTCCCATCTGGAAAAGTACAAGCCAAACTCTTAAGTTTCGTAGCCAGAAATGAACATTGAAATATCTCTGCAGTTGGAAATATTTACTCTCCTCAGTAAGACCAAGTTTGTCAAAATCTATCCAGGTCTTCAATTTTGAGAGAAAGGGTGTTCTTCAAAACTCAGCTTTGTGTCCAAAAATGCACTTTGATAAACACAGCCAACCCAGGTGTACATTTTTTTTGACTCCTACATTAGTTTTTCTGTAGGACAAACATACTGCCAGAAGAATTTGTGGTGCTCTCCGCTTGTTTTGAAAATATATTTGTCCCCCAAATCATCCTTACTGGAGAACTTTCTCCTGTTTAATTTTTTTTTTCCTCCCATGGTTGAACTTCCATCATCTGGAAAGTTGATCCCTTTTCCAGTTCTGACCTGGTTTCTCAGAATCACTTTCTGCTTTGGTTTGCAGGAGCATTACCTTGTTAATGTAGTCAAGGTGTTAACAGCTTCTTTCAGTATAAATGAGTAACAGCTGAAGCTGTGTCCTCCTTTGTGTATAATAAAATTACTTCTGTAGAAGTCTTGCAAGACCAGGTCTCATTAGGATGACTAAGAGAATTTAGAAAACACAAGACATTGTGAGCCTGATCCCAGGTTCACAGTTCCAGCAGTTCTTGCAGAGTGAACATGAAGAAAGGAAATGCAGTATCCAAACAACTTTTATCCAGTAACTGTTTAGTGGTTTAGTGCAGACCTGCTGACCTCTGGAAGCTTTGTTTCTATCATATGCTGGAAGTTTTCCAGTGGGAATGTTGTTGTTTCTTCATTCCCTGTTTCATTTCCCCTTGCTCTGTTACTCTAATTGCCTCTTCTGCCTGCTGACTCATCTTACAAGCTGCTTTAGCTTGCTCAAGCAAGATTTGTGAACTTTTAAGTGCTCACTTGCTGCTTGCACTTTCATTTGCACCTCCTACCTTTTCCTACAGTACTTACCTGCCAAAGACCACAGCAGCTTCCATTCTCCTGTGTTTTGCTACATTTAGTCTACATGTTTTTTTGAAGGAAAAATGCTTTTGACTAAATGAAAAATAGGTATTGTAGTTAAAACCTTTCCTATTTTGTCATAAGAAAATAATTTGATGTTACTTTTGAAATTTCCACTTAGCATTACTCTTTAAAAGATGAATTTCTTATTTGCTGTCTATGACACCCAGTTCCCTTTTGATCTTGATTTAGCTCTGTCACTTTTAAGCTGTTATTCCCTTGAAGCCCTTAGAAACTTTGTTTCCTGTTCCTGAAAATGGCAGGGTATTTCATATACTGCTGGCTAGGTGAGGTATTGTGAGTTGAGAAGTTATAACTTATGTAGTGCTATTAGCTGCTTGTACTTAGCTCAGGCACATCCATGTGCTGGTCTTGAGAATTGTGGGTTCTTAAATCACACCACTGTAGCTATTAAGAGATACAACTTATGAGGAAGTAAAGATAAAACTATAACCTGCATTAGCATTTTGAAGCTACATTGATTCTTAAATTAATTACTGCACAATGAAATACTTGATCAGTTTCTCAGGGAAGATTTAAAATTGAGATCAAGCCATGTTGTAAATAACAAGCCTGTTTTTTTAAAAAAAAAATCTTTTTTTCCCCATTTTTTTATTCTTCATTTTCTGACTAGTCTGGAGGTAGCTATATAAATATTTCAGACAACAGAGCAGGGTAAGAATTACTCTGTAGAAAGTTTTCCTTGTAAGATCTTTTCTCATTTGGGATGAGTTTCACTGCCTCAGTGACCATGTTTTAAAAGCATGTTATATAATTCTCTGTAGATACCCATAGACAGATGTATTTATGGTTTTTGGAAACTTCATGTAATTTAGGCATAAATCTTGAAGTGTGTTTTATAGTTCCTCATTAATAATAGTTGAGAATTATGCTCAGCTAAGGCAGCACACATAAATTCTTAATGTTCAGACATTCATTATATGCCTGTGATGGTTAGAAGTTGCCATAGGAAAATAAAAGCCAGTGATCCCAAAGATTATTATTTTTATATATTCTTTTAAGCAATTTGGAAAATTGTGTTCATCCACTAACAGTTATTTCCCTTTGATTTCCACATTCTTCATCTTAACCTAAAGATATCATACTGAGTATTGAAAAAGTCAAGTCAGCAACCAGACAAACTTTTTATTGAAGTTTTCATTAAGCGTGGTAGCACCTTATAAACGGAAATGCTGAATCCATCATTTTATGGAAGTTACAAATTCAGTAGTTTTTTTGCAATTGCAATTTAGAGATGCTAATCATGTTTGCCTATATCTCATATGAAGACAGCTGTGGCACAGTTGCAGGTGGCTGGATGAAAACTTGGCATGTGTATGATGGCTTTACACCTGTGAAGCAGGTGAAAAGGCAAAAGTTTTTCTTACTTTTTTGGCCAGAACATAACTTAGGTATTAGAAATCAAAGTCATACTTTAGCAATTGCAAATTGAACTTTAAAACCATTTCTTTCAATTTTAATTTACTTTCCAGTAGCAGAACTGGATATATAGAGGCATGGAAATGATATGAGAGCTGAATGAGAAGAAGAGTAATTGGGATTTTCTACGTATTAGGAATTTCTTTCAGTTAGTATTAAAGGAAAAAAAATCTCTGCTGAGACCTCACAATAGATGAATCAAAAAGGTACATTTTCTTCTAGAGTCACGTGGTGAGTAGATCTTTTTTTCTGCTTATGCAGAAAAAAATGCAGTAGCCAAGCATGATGCCATTTTCTGAACAAGCAGTTCAGCTGGCATACACATTTATTATTTCCTTGATCCAGATTAAAAATTTGCTTGCACTGGAGAAGTGTTATGTGGAAATACTAAAGAGAAGTTTACATATAGCACAAATTTCCCAAATTTTAGCATGGTTGTCTCTGAAGTTTGTTTTATTCTGAGGCTGGAGAAAGATTTGATGCAGCTTTGAACTCTGCAAAAATGTATGTGTGCATGTTCTGTGATCAGATATGTCTAAATTTTTTCTCCTTTTACTGAACATTGTCATGTTGGACTTCACAATATGTTGTCTGGTCTGAAATAATTGTTCCTTAGCTGTTTTTTATAGGTGTTTGGGTGCATGTTGGCTTCAGCCTAAACTATGAAAGCTTCTGGAAAAGAACAGACCTACTATGCACTAGTTTTATTTCATGGTGTTGCTCTGGTTTTAATCTTAAAGATTTTCTACTGAATTTTGCTTTGAATAGTACACAGAGAGCCAATATTGATGGCCAAATCCAACAGAGGTGCTTTCCTCAAACCAGCAGGAGGCATGGCAGATGTTGGGATACAAACTGGAGGCCATGGAAGGTGCATGACCCAGCACGAGCTCTGCTCACCTGGCAGGCGCTGCAAGTGACCCGGTCATGCTGCTGCCAACCAGGGCAGGAATGTTCCTGCTCAGCCCCTGGGTCACTGCTGCTGCATCTGGGGAGGGGATCAGACTGCTCTGTGCTCAGAGCCACCCAAAGCTTCACCCATTACCCCTGGGATCTGGGATGTCCTTTTGTCACATGGACATATCAATGTCACACGGCTGCAGGAGGTGACATTGTGCCCCCTGTGTTGCGCCATGTGTTAGCGTGCATGTTGAGAATATAGATCTGTGCTAAATCGTCTCTTCAGGATTATGATTTGTAGATTTAAACTATAATCTCCTGGAGATTATATGGAAGAGGGAGTTGCAGGCACGAATGGATGAAGGGGATCCCAGTGTCATGCTGCAGGAGGAAATTAAGGAATTGTGGCTTTGGAGGAGAAATAGACAGAGGGAATATTATGGTGGGTTAAACAGAATGGGGACTGGGATACTTGTGTCATGCAATCCAAGGAATATTTCCATCATATTCATTGTAGCTAATGTGGAAAGTGTTTAACTCCTTAGGAAATAAGGGACTGAAACCAAGTAATCCCACAAGGTGGCTGACCTCACCACAAAGCACTAATCGGGTTTTCCTTGGACAGATTATTTTCAGCAGTGTGGAACAGTGTCCCCTCTGCCTCCTTCTCAAGTCTTATTTTACTTGGGTTTTCTTTTTATGTTGGCTTTCTAGAAAAGAAAAAAAAGAAAAAAGAATCAAACCAACATTTTCATTGCTACTAAATAGGTTATGGAAAGCAGAAAGTCTGCTAAATTTTTTCATTAGGATCAGAAAAGCTCTTTTCTATAGACTTTGGCACAGAAATATTATCACCTCGTGTCTTTTACAATTTTTCTTCTTTACAGTACCTTCTAATACCTTGTAATTTCCTTTGGATTAGTTTCTATCCAGGCTATCAAAAAGCACACAATATAAATTTCTTATTGCATGAACAGGTTCCATGAAAAGCAATGTGTAAAATACAGATCATGTTGTAGCTGTTTTATTTTCTTGGTGTTTAATGTGTGCATCTATCACACCATCATAAACTCATTGCACATTTTGTCACTCAGCTGTTAAAGGTTTTCCACCCTGGAGCTCATGGATGGGTTCATGGGCTGTCAGCTATGAAACAGTGATTCCCTAGCTTAAAAATTACTGCTCAATGTCCCTATAAATAATTCAAGGAAAATCACAAATTCAGAAGTTTTCCCCTGCCCTGTTTCTGATGAGAATATTGTGGACCAAAGAGCAGTGGTGTGCCAGGCAGAGAACTGGATCCAGGGGAAGCCTGTGTGTGTCAGATGTGAATTTTGTGTTCCTCGTGGCAGGCAGGCAGTCACACGTGCACTGGCAGCAAATCAGTGATAAGCATATGTGCTTGAGTCACTCCTGCCCAGTGGGGATAACACTTGACATTCTCTCTGAAAGAGAACTTTTTTCAGGAATTCAGCAAAGCACAAAGACTTTGAGGACATGACTGCTTTTCCTGAAATTAACAGGCTGAATGGAGTTGCAGGCTGAGATTCTTTGGTTCACCTAATGTTACATCTGCCATGTGTAATCCTGGGATTTTAAGTGCCAAGGCCATGCTGATAGGAAAACTAGTATCTAGCTCGAGGGCTTGATTAATGAGAGTCAAACCAAGGGGAAGGGAGACTGGCCCAAGGTTGCTGTCATCTATTAATAAGACAAAAATGAAGTGTCTGCACTGTGGCAACTCTGAATTATTTAGTTACCACAGATGGACAGGATGCCATTTGAGTCAAGAGGGTTTGGCCAGACAGTGGCTTTGCTTAAAGCCTGGTGTAAGGCATATGCAGCAGGTGTCTTGTCTTGCCAACTGAGCCATCTTCTTTTTCTTGTGGCGCCCTGGCCCTTTAGCAGCCCTCATGTTGGTCCCTTAGAAGGAACTGAGTGACTCTTCTCTAAGAGGCAAGGCTTTTATTTGTGCCAAGTTTGCCACTCAAAAAAATTAGGGTAATGCCAAGGTGCCTTCAATGTTCTGTCCCTAAAAATTTCTGTTTGGCCAAAAATAAAAAAAAAATTATCAGCCCAGCATTGCTTTTACTCTGCGGTATCTGTTGACCAAGTAAATGGTACCATAGGCTTGATGTGTAGATTATTTTCAGGCAGCTCTCAGTTTGTCCCTACCAAGACAGCAGGGGAGCAGGTGCCACATCCTGGCCATGGCTCCTACCTGGATTTTCAGAGTGCTGTGTGTGCCAGCCCAGCATGGGCTGGGGAGAGTGGCAGGCACCATTCCAGTCCCCCTGAGCTCAAAGCAGAATGGGTTTTGTGCACCATCAGCCTAAAGATCCTGTATTTGGTCTGGTTTGTTTGGTGACTGGCGTTAACAAAAATTAATATCATAGGGAAAAGCATTTTGTCCAGTTAAGTATTCACCATCACCAACTTTCCAAGTATCTCATGTAATTTCACTTCTGTGTGAGGATGAGGATATCTTCTATTTGTCTGATGTCTGTCCAGCTTATTTAATCTTTCTTGTATAACAGAGGACCACTAACATGATATAATTTTCTAGACAGACAGAATCCACTTTCTTTGTGCAAATATGTTATTTGGAGTCAACAAGAAATAGAATGGTTGCACTGGAAAAGAGTTGCTAGCTAGAGAGCTCAGAGACAGAAGGATTTTGCTGCAGAACAGTAGGAGATCTTGAGACTGTTTAAAACTATAATCTTTTAATGTGCTAAATCTCAGTTCCCTGAACTCACAGTCTTTTTATATTATGGTGAGCTTGTCATAACTTGCAGATGTAGGCTGGTAAATAATCTTATATTTAGCAAATAGGAAAAGAAAATTAAACTTTCCCTGAAAATTTTTTCTACTTAAACTTATTGGAAAAATGCAAGATGACATGAACTGTAAAGTACCAAGACAGCAAATTTAGATCAGCTTTTTCCTGGGCATGAATATTCAAGGACACTGAAGCCTTTCTGCTTCAATTCTGAAAAAGATGCAGACAAAGTAAATACTAGGTTTGCACTGATTTCTTTTCTTTGCACATCAGGTACCAAGGCTTTTGCCAGTTTTTATTTTGGCCTGCCTAATTATGAGGTTTGCTTGCCAAGACTGTAGAGAAACATCATTTGTTGGCAAGATGGACTAGATGACATAATGCTCATGGTTGTTCCTTGCTGCAGCTTCTTTACTTCTGCTAAACATTGCAGCACTTTTGTTGTTATTGCCCTCTGAAGTTAAAGCTACTTGCTTATAATAAAATGAAGTACAATGTAGTTGAAAGGTATGAGCATTTATCAAAGCTCTATTCACAGGGCTTGGGTGTCTGTGGGTCACATTTTCAAAGGTGCCTGAAAACATAAAAAACATGTAGAGAAACATGAAGTGACTGAGAGGCTAAGTGATGGCTTGCTCTTTGAACCCAATCTCCTGGTAATGAATGTTTCTCTACTGAGCAAAAGGATTTGGAAGAAAAAATTTCCACCTATTTTACCACGTGAGAAAAATCTATTAATCTCTCTCCCCTCTCCAGGAGTGCTATAAATGCACCAAACCATGAAGTTAAGTGTTGTTATACATTGTAATGATAAATTGTTCATGTTACTGTTCTTCTTTTAAAAGCAGGAACTATATAAGGCACTTCTTCAGGAAATTGGCTCTCTCCTCATTAAACTAATCTTTTGCCCAGAACATGGAGTATTCCACACATTCACAATTGCTAAAACATGCTCTCACCATTAAGTTGTTAATGAAGGTACCTAAGTAAGAGATACCATTACAGTCATTACCTACTGACAAGATATAAAATTATTCTGACACCTCATCTTTTAGGCTGAATTCTGTTCTCATTTGGTGTTTCATTATCAAGATAGGAATTAAAATAATGCAGACAGGGTTTAGCAAATTTGTTTCTGATCTTGAAGCCATATGGTTCCGTTTCATGATGGTAACTGCTGTGACCTTCATCTGTAAGCAGAAGAGTGGCAGTAAATAAAGATGTTAAATAATTCCTATGATTATTGTTCTAAACAACATGACACAGGTGAATGGAAAATTGCCCAAACTAGAACTGGATAGTCACCATTTACTTTGGCCGTCCCTGGACCACAGGATCCTATCCTAATCCCCCTCTGTCTCTCCATCACTTGGGATTTAGATCTGGCCAGAACCTGTGCTGCTATTATCTTTTCCTTCTTGACACACCAGTGTTTTGTTTTAAAAGTAGCTATGACTTACATCTTTCTATGTTCAAAAATTACAGAGTCATAAATATCTGACTGCTCTGTCTGATCAGAGATCACAACAGACTTTTAGGTAGCTGGCAGAGTAGACAGAGACTCTGTTCTGTGAATTTGCTTTCTGTTTGTTTGTTTATTTTGAGGACAACATGTAGTAATGTGCATTATATTTAAGTAATGTGTGCATGTGTTTGATATGTTTGTTTTCTTTTGCTTCAGCCGCAGTGATCAGCAAATGCAAGTGCAAAGCTGAGTACAGGTAAATTGTAATGCTGGTAAATGTTTTGCCAGAGCCTCATTACTGGGAGGAAGCAATAATGCCAGCTTGCAGCTAGAAGCATTTTTAAAGTAGCATTTCAATCTGGCAGAAGGGAGCGTGATCTGCTGCAGGAGAGTAACATCTGTGCACACGCTGCAGGGTGCACCTGCCCCAGCATTTCTGTTTGGCCTGGAACATGATTTTGAAATGTCTCTCCTAACTCTGCTGGGTGTTACTTACTCTCCATCACCGTGGCTGGTTATCCAGTGTCACCCAGAGCCCCTGTGTTCCTACACACCCCACAGCAGGCCAAGAGCCTGAGCTGTAAAAGCCTCACCCCAGAGGGCTGCAGCACAGGCACCACGTTATTTCACACGGAGCATTTGAAAAAAGCCAGCTCCCTGTTGGTGGCATTACCATAGCAGCAGTAATAACAGTAATAATGACAGTAATGGTGGTGTCTCACAATAAGAAGGGCCATCCTGTAATATGTGTGTGACCTTTCTAAGAGGGAGGGAGCCCTGATCCTTATGGACACAAGCCAGCCTGTGCCTCCAGGAGCTGGGAATCACTGGCCGCATTTTACCTCACGGTATGCACATCTTGTCTATAATTTATAAGAAGAAATACTTTCCCTGAAACTTAGGAAGTACAGGCTGTCCACAGAGTTTTGCACCACAAAATGCCAAGGCTGTCCTGTTTTGGCCACTGATGACAAAGGTGAATTTTGGTCATGGTGATGGTGTGTTTATATTTGAAAATTAAAGGAAAGGAGACAAAAGTAGCACCTGCATGCCTGGGGTTAAGTCTTGGAGAATATTTGCATGGCTGGAGAATTATTTAGTTTTGTATTTACAGTCCTAAATGCAAGAGAAGCATTTGACCAGAAATTGAGGACTAATTGCCAGCAAATATAAACTGGTCAATCTCAAACAAATAGACAAGAAAATATGAGATTGAGTGTGTTCAGGCATTAAAGGAAGAAAAGGGCAGAAAGACCAAAACCAACATAAAGAATGACAGTCAATGGAATAAGGGCATATAACCAATACATATGCATTGACTTCATAGTTTAAACTTTTGAGTCACTTTTCCTTGGTTTCCTGTGTTTGTTTTATCTCCATGTTGATGCCAGAAATACTGTGATAGCACAGAGATCCACTGTGTGCAAGAGTTTGCATGTATGAAGCTGAAATTACAAGTACTTTGGGGCTAACACCAAGTCTGTTTATTAGCCTAGAGAGAAACAAGCTCCATGAATACCATTTATTCATTTGTAATGAATAAATAACACAAAGGAAATTGATTTGGAAATAACTATTCAAAGGAAGAAAGAGCTAATATTTCAGTGCAACATTTGCATGAAGAATTATTGGCAAGGTGTTATTCAAACATACATCAAGGTACTGAATAAGGAAAATATTTATCCATAATAAGTATTTGATAAAAATATTGCCCAGCTTTGCAATGAATAATTCAGTCCGCATTAGTAAGATGTGCATGACTCTGCACGTTATTCATATCTTTATAAATGCTATGGTAAATTGCTACAGGTTAATAGGTACTTACATCTTTTTCTGTGTAGAATGCTATTAGGTCCAATTTCTCAAAGGAGTTGAGCCACCCAGAAGTTTAAATATGATAATGAGTTGCAGATACTAAATCTGTGTGTAAATCAGGCCATGGCAATGTTAGTCACAGGGAGGCTGTTTGGGACCTGCATGGAGGAACAATGCAGCAGCCCAAACCAGAGATACATTCTGTAGGGCTCTGTGTGTGTTCGTTTCACCCTAAACATCCTTTTCATATCAATACAAAAGGCATGCTTAAAATGGATACAATTTAGTGTTTAAAAGCTGATTAGAATCTGAACAGATTGCTGATGGGAAATACCCAAGGATGGATAAGACTGGTTATTGGACACTGTGATGAAAGATGAAACCCTTGTGAAAAACAAGACACAGTAATCTAGAAAGCTCACTCAAAAAGATCTCCCCACCATGTTTCTTCTTCTCTTTCATTATAATTGACATTTAGGAGTCAAGCAATGTAAATAGCTGTGAATCTGGCATCCTGTTGTTATGGCCTGGACAGGCAGCAAACAAACCCATGTTCCAAGCCACAGAGATGTATATGAGGTATGTGTAAGAGATAAAAAAAGAAAAATATATTGTGGAACAGTAATAACATTTCCTTTAGATTTTTAAAAGCTTGTCATTCTAAAGCAAACTGCAATTGCTTGATTCCAAAAACTGTGTGCTTTTTGAGAGGATTTAAAGTTAAGCTGGTTCGATTATTCACCCTCTGACTTCAAAGAGCTCTGTAGATTGTATCAGCCCATATGTCTGGTTAAAAGTTTGCATCTGTTGTAAAGCAGTTTTGATAACACAGCAGTCATACTGCCATAATGAAGATATATTAATAATAGAACATTAGGAAAGCGTTGTATCTATTTATATCTCTCTGCTTATCTTTATGCACATCCCAACGGACCATTATTTCTGTACATTGAACTATCCAGTGACCTTAGAGTGGGGATGTACACATTGTGCTAGTGAAACATGAGTTATTTTATCAGGAAGCCAGGCCTTGAAGTTCACTGCAAGAAAGCAGAGAAATACAGTGCAGGCCACCAAAAGCACAGGAACACAATGTCAGCAGGGCCTTGAAGGCACAGGACATTGCCAGAAGCCTAAAGTACACATCACAATTAGTAAATTACTTTTCTCAAGAGAAATGAAATCTTGAGAGCTGGCTGAAACCAGTTTTAGGGACTAAGTGGGACATGTGTTGAGTTGTGTAACAGCCTATTGCAGCTGGCTGGCAGCACAGGTGGAGGCTCCTGTAGATGGAACAAAAGATTGAAATGGAACCAACTAGTCACACAGGAATCTTATTTCAGAATTGGGTATGCAAATTGATCACTCTGATATCCTCTATGGATGCATATGTAAAAGTATTTCATCATTGTATTTGCTCTTGTGATGTATTGCTTTTGTTTGGTTTGAGCCTTTGGTTTAAATTGGATGCAGAAAGCGAAACCCTTTGGTTTTTTTGGAAAACAAATGTCTAACTGCTGTATTGCTTAAAACACCTTTGCTTTATACAAAGCTTGCAGACCTTCATCATCCCCGATGATGCCATTCCATATGTCCAATTCTAGCATAATTGGCATTGTAAATCACTGGAAAAGACTGCAAGAAGCAGATATGTTCAGACATAAAATATGGGTTTACAGCCTATATGGTCTTTGTAGGAACAAAATTCTTGTGACTGATTTTTAAGCTAAAGAAAATTCATGTGTCTTTTCTACCTGCTTTTATTTTGTGCTGACATAGGCTGATATAGCAAATAAATAAATAATGTCAGCACAAAGCTGTTCTAGAATCATGTAGGTTTTATAGCATGGTCACACCTGAACAGCTTGATGATGTTGAGTATGTAAATTAAAGATGTTCTTGCTGCATAAAAAGATGCTGCACGTTGTAAGTGACAAAGCTGAAACACTGACTTACAAATTAGCTGTGCCATCCGGTGAGCTTGTTAAGCAGCATCCCCTCAGGAGACAGCAGTAAATGTGAATGATCAGCCATGAATCCACTTAGTGGATATCCTGTACAGATTCATTTGGAGCCCACATTTTTTATCTGCAGACAGTTCTGAAAAACAGTATCTGTGAAATGATTCTTTAGTGCAGACATTTGGTACAGGGCTGGTGTTACAACTCCAGCACCACCTTTTTCTCAAAGTAATAATAAAGGATTTGACTAGGAAATAATGTGAGCAGGATTCTGATCCACCAGAAGTTGGCAGTGCATGTCAGCCGTGGGTACCAGCAGCCAGCCTCCCTTGGGATCACACAGGACTCTGCGTTAAGGCAAATCTGCTTTCCCCCTCCCTTGAGACAGAAGTTCCAACCTGCAGAAACAGCACAACTTCACACTTCAGCTCTTATTGACACCTCATTGCCAGAGGCATTACTCTTTCATTTTGAGACCTTTTCCTTACCGCTTTTCCAGATTTGACCTTTTTCTTTTCTTTTTAAGAACTAGTGTTACATGCTATTCTAAATGAGACACTTAAGCTCTGTCTGAGAGATCCCTTCTCAGAGCTCTTCTTTGGGGTTTTTTCCCTGTGTTACCCCTGATGTTATCTACACAAGTAGTCTGTGTTTTTAGGAAGTCATTGATCTCTTCTGTATCAAATCTTAGCATGTTCATTAAGGACCTGTTTCAAACAGGCAAAATCCTCTCCGCTTTTCCTTCCTATCCTTGGTATCTGGCCTCTGGCTAATGTGTTCATGCTGCCTCCCTCAGCAGCCTTCATTCTGGAAAGCTTTGCTTGCTAAGTACCTGACTTCCTCCAAAGACCCCTCTAGGAGAAAATGAGGAGCTGTTGGCAAGCTGAGGAATAAATAGCTGCAGCCTCCATGCTGGGACAGGGCAGAGTGCCTTCAGACCAACTCCAGGGTAGCTCACGCTGGGATCTGAGCAGGCTCTGACACGAGGTTATGTAG